TGCTGGGATTACACCATTCAACAGCTTGCAAGGCTGATGAATTGCACACACACACACACACACACACACACACACACACACACACACACACACACACACACACACACACACACACACACACACACACACACACACACACACACACACACACACACACACACACACACACACACACACACACACACACACACACACACACACACACACACACACACACACACACACACACACACACACACACACACACACACACACACACACACACACACACACACACACACACACACACACACACACACACACACACACACACACACACACACACACACACACACACACACACACACACACACACACACACACACACACACACACACACACACACACACACACACACACACACACACACACACACACACACACCTGTCCTGTCCTGTAGAGTCACTGCCGCAAAAGGGTCACGTGATCCCATCACTGGGAAACTTGAGAAGAGAGAGAGAGAGAGGACACGACGCTCGATGACGCTCCAGGTGCACGGGTAGTCGCATCCGCTTGCCGCATATGCACACGTGCTGGAAGGCTGAGCGCTCCTCTGCTGTTGGTCTATGAGCCACCCTTGAACAGCGATGCCTTCCCCGTCCCCGGACACCGCGAAAGCAGCGACCACACCTGTCACAATGCGCGGCACAACATCCCTCCGCCGGTGCCGACGCTCCGGTAGTTCCAGGTGGCACTGCGGCATCCACCGTTGAGGCACACACATGCCGGACCAAGCCACCGCGGCTTCTCATCCACCGCCCACACCGCCCGCACTGACTGGCGCCCCGCTGCTCAGACACAGGCCGCGCACGCTCCTCCAGACACTTATGCCGAGCCATGTCTCCTTTCCGTGCAAAATCCCGTCCGCATACCGTACATACCACTCGGGGCGGAGGCTCAGGCACATTGTCAGGCTCTTGGTAGGTGCTGCGCCACTCCGCGCGAGACTCACATGCAACATCATACCATGATGCCTCCACGCCACGGGCACGTAGATCTCGGACAGCGCAGTCCTTCCATCTGCGGCGTGGGCCATGTGCTGGGCGACGCTGCAAGAAGGAGCCAAACAGTACCTGTTTTGGGATGCGGTTGTCCGGCATCCGCGCCACATGCCCCAACCACTCCAACCGCCGATGTGCAATCTTGTCTTTAATCGTCTCGGAGTCTCCCCAGCGCACCAGCAGCTCTTCGTTGGTGATGTGTTCGTCCCACATTCGGCTTCGAGAGACCCCGAGGATGGATCGGATGCACCTCATGCTGATGGTTGAGAGCTTCTGCAGGTCATGCTGAAGGGGCGTCCAGCACTCAGAGCCATACAACAGCAGGGACAGAACGCAAGCATTGAATACGCACCGCTTGGTGTGCATCAGCAGATGTGGATTGGAGAATACAGACCTCCGAAGAGCACCGCAGGCCCTGGAGGCTTGGGCAATCCTTGCGGCGATGTCCCGGGACGAACGGCAACCGCTGTCCACTACAGAACCGAGGTATTTGAAATGCGGTACGCATTCCACCTCCGCTTGACCAAGTTGGAGGGGAGCGCGGTCAGTAAGCGTGATGCCGGGGCCAACAACTACAAACTGAGTCTTCGTTGCACTGATGGTCAAGCCGAATCCCGACGCCACCTCGTGAAGACAGCACAATGCTGCCCCCGCTCCAGACCGAGTCGTAGCGAATAAACAAGAGTCGTCAGCAAACTGGGAATCTGTTAGGCAATGGTGTTGGTCGTCACGGCGGGGTTTACGGTATAAATCGCTGCTGTATGCTGAGCGGAGCTCGAAGCCAACCCCGTCAACTCTCCTGACGCGGTGTTGCCACTGGGTCATCACGGCCCACATAAAGATATTAAAAAGGACCGGCGCCATAGAGCACCCCTGGCGAAGACCATTGCCAATGCTGAACGGGTCTGATAATATGTTGTTGAACTGCACCGATGCTGACATGGGGTCGTGGAACGACCGGATGATGTTGATAAGCTTTTCTGGTACTCCCGCACGGCCGAGGACCTGCCACAGACACCCCCTGGGCACTGAATCATAGGCCTTCTTCAGGTCGATAAACACAAAAAATCCCTTGGCCTGATGTTCGATTGACTTTTCCATGAGCTGTCGGACGGTGAAGATCATGTCAGAGCAGCCACGCCCTCGCCGGAACCCGCACTGGGACTCAGGGAGAAATTCCTCCGCGAATACCTGCAGCCTTCTCTGAAGGACACTCGCCAAGACCTTGCCGACCACATCCAGCAACGCAATGCCCCGCCAATTGTCGCACTGCGACAAATCTCCCTTCTTTGGAATGGGGATGAGGGTAGCATCCGCCCACTCCCGCGGAACGCAGCCATCTCGCCACACATCTCCAAACAGCTCCATGAGCTTGTTGTTGAGCTCCTCGCCACCAAACTTTAGCAACTCTGGCTGTATCCTCGATGAACCAGCAGCGGTGCCATTGCGAAGTCGAGAAATGGCCTTGGAGATCTCATGCATGGTTGGTGGTTCCTCAAGGCTCGACACTACAGGTCGCTGCTCAACGCAAGCCATGATATCGGGGTTGTACGAGCTCTCTGGGTTCAGGACAGATGTGAAATGCCTCTGGAACCGCTTGCATTGATCCTCAGTCGACTGGCACAGGTTTCCCTTCTCGTCCTTAATGGCGGAAGTCTTGCACGGAGTTAATCCCTCACATGCAGCGTGGATAGCATGAACGCATTTCCAGACGACTGCCCCGTTGAAGCGCGCCTCTGTTGCCTCCTGTGCCTTATTCAAAATCCAAGCCTCTTTGGCATTTACAACGGCTGCGCGCGCTTGCGATCGAGCAGCCCCGAAGCTGGCCCAATACGTGTCGTCCCTCTGCTGACCGTGGGCAAGCCACTCCGCGTAGCACTCATTGCGGGCGCGCAGAAGGGGCTGTATGGTTGCAGAGTTGTCATCATACCAGTCGGCCTGACGGCGTTCGCTCGGGCCCAATACATCAGCGGCTGTGGCAACCACGGTATTGCGCACATGGGTCCACTTCTCCCCAACGCTACCATCGCTGCTCCAGCAATCTCGCAATCCAGTAGATAAAGCGGCACGATACTTGTCCGCGGTGGTCACGCAGCGCGGGGGGCGACGTCCCACATCGTTGACGTCTTGTAACGTGGATGCGCAGGAATCCGATTGATCATGCTCGGCCACCGCCTTACTCCGCAGCTTGCCGACATTAAATCGGCGCCCCCGGCTCGCTCCACGTCGGGCAACCCCCACCGGGCGATGCGGGAACTCAAAGACTATACAAAGCAGCTGGTGGTCACTGCCACACTCAGCACCACGAACAACGCGCACGTCCCTGCAAAATCGCCGATGATCCTGACGCATCAAGATATAGTCGATGCAGTGCCACTGCAGAGAGCCGGGGTGCTGCCACGTCCGCTTGAAGATATCCCGCTTGGGGAACCAGGTGTTGCAGATCCACAAATTATTTATTGCTGCAAACGACAGTAGCTCATCTCCAGAGGAATTCAACTGTCCAAAACCATGCATGCCGCGCACACCACTCCAGCCATCGTCAGCTGTTCCTGAACCCACACGGGCGTTGAAGTCTCCAAGCAGAATACAGCAGTCCCTGTCAGGAACGCCAGCTATTACCTCCTGCAACTGTTCGTAAAACTGATTTTTGCTGGCACGCGGAGCTGCATAAGTCGGAGCATACGCACTGACTACCGTCACCCATGCGACTTCTCCCCCACGCAGGGCGAATTTGAGACGTGCAGTGACAAGACGAGGGCCCACAGCCCGCCAGACCGAACCACCATTCTTCCACGCGTCTGTTGCAAATTTATTGAGTGCCAGGGCGACTCCTTCTCCTCGTCTGTTGCCCGGAGCTCCATCGCCAGGCACGGGGCGACCCGAACACAAGATAGTAAAACCGTCAACGACATAAATGTCATCGCCGAACCAGTGTGTCTCCTGCAATCCAGCCGCCGCCACGCTCAACCTGCGCAGCTCGGCAGCAGCACGACGACATTTCTTGTCCTCTGCTACTCGGCCAGAAACGCTCGCCGTAGCTACGCCGCCACTCCTTTCCACAAGGGAGCGAACATTCCACGACCCAAACGTCAAGCAGCGCCGTCCCTCTCTCCCACTCTTCTCCCTCTCCTTGACGTACTTCATAGCTTTTCGGAGCTGGATGGAGATATTCCACTCGGGGGCTCGTCACACCACCGCGAGTGGCGACTTCGGGCGCAGCAAGAGGTGGCGGTATCAAAAAAACTCGCCTCGTCCTCCTGCTACGTGGCTCCCGTCGTCGGCAGCTCACTGTTTACGTACTGGCCCTGGAGACAACCCTCAAGGGGTCGCTCCAGGCCTCTCTTTCGCCCAAAAGTACTCGAAAAACAAGAAAAAGTCAGGAGCAGAAAAATTTCAAACTGCCTCCTTGGGCAGCTTACTGAAAAACACACACACACACACACACACACACACACACACACACACACACACACACACACACACACACACACACACACACACACACACACACACACACACACACACACACACACACACACACACACACACACACACACACACAAACAAACACAACACACACATGCACACATATACACACACGCACATGCGCACGCAGGCACGCACACCATCCACCATTTGACGCCCATCGCCAGAGGCGATGATATTGATGCTACATGCTACATCAGAAGCCATTGCAAATTGTGCACCATTCAACAGCTTGCAAGACGGAAGAATTGACCACCACTATTCAGCCTGATCTACACCACACAGCTATTGGAAGTGTTTTTTTCTGGCCAAACACACACACGCACACACACAAATAGCTCCCCCCCCCCCCTCCACCCTTCACTACCAAACCATAATTATCGCCACATATCGCCACATTCAAGATATGAGAATGTACCCCACAAAGTGAGCAGTATCAGCATAAACAGAAACATGTTAAGTTATTCTTACCTGTATAGTATCTGAGCAGTGGAATTAGCGTCCAGACTGAGATGCACACACAGGTTTTCCACCAAGTGAGGACCCGGTTGAATAGGTGTTGTTCACTCCGGTGAATGAGAATGTGGTGAACGTATTCTTCATCCTGGCTGGAGACGAGTAGACGTCAGGACCGGCGTCCTGACGCTGCTCTGCCATTGGCTTGCTGGTGTGTAGCGTGGCCTGGTTGCTACTGGCAACGGCACCATTGGCCGACACAAGTGCATAGGTGTCCTCCTCCACCTCGGCATCCTCTGTGATTGCTTGGTCAATGACAGTGGCGATGCGAAGTTCAGCCGCGCGACTATCGTTGCTGGCCACCAGACCGGAGACGAGTTGGTAGGGATCCGCGTCGTCACCGGCTCCCGCTGCCATAGCAACGCCGGAATTCACCATGGCTACATTGTAGACGCGCGCCTCTCGGCTGGCCACGCCGTCCGTTCCTGGCACTACAGGTTCGTATAGGCCGTAGGGGTCCTCGGTGGCGGTCTGGCCAGGGATTCGAGAATGGCCTTGGTCGCCAGCACTACCGGTGACATTTCGTAGCTCTGCCCTGTTTACGTCCATCTTCTGCATGGACTTGGAGATGAGGCAATACAGCTCCGTGCTGTCGTATTCGCTGCTGGACTGGATTCCCTTGCCACCCAGCTCAGCGTAGATGCTGTTGGCGTCGCCTGCATTCAGCAGCTCCTGTTGCTGGAGCACCGCCCTGGCGTTCGGCGCATGGAAGCGCACCGCCTTGGATGCGCTCTCACTGGTGGCCAATGAACAGTCCGCCGTGCCAACCAGTTCAGCCGTTGTCGTGTTGAACAACGCCACCATTCCGCTGTCGGTCTCTGTCACTTCATACTCCATTGAGTTTTCAACATCAATTTCTACATTGAACACGGACACGGGAACACTGGCGCCATGTTTGGATCGGAATGCAAGTTTTCCAGTCGAGTCCTTCTCCAACACCCGCTTAGTTCTGTCAGCCGCACGAGCCAAACTGGCTTGTTCAACAACAGGCTTGACTTTGGCCGCAGCTAAGTATTTCGTGACCTGGTTCAGACTGATGACCGCTACTGGAGTTGTTGAGCCCTCTTCAAAGAGGCCGATTTCCCTTGCATTGATCGATCCGACACTACACTGAGCGGTGAAAGTGCCATCGAATCCTGACGAGGAGGCGAAGATGCTAAGAGGAATGACAGCGCCGTAGTTTGTAGCGAAGGAGAACTGCCCATCACGGTCTTCAAACACTTGCTGTAACTGAATGGCGTGAATCCTAGCCGTCGATAGTTGCTGTGCCGGGTGAGACCTTATTTGATCGGGCTCGAAAGATGTGTACAATGAGCTTGCCGCTGATTCGGTTTCTATACAGTTGTTGGTTGCCTTGTCTGTTGAGTTGGTGTTCTCCGACACAATGCTGGTAGCAACAAGGTGACGTGTGTACTTTTCCAGTAGGGCATAGCAACCAAACCGATCCACAGCCACTAGCCGCTCCTGGAAGTTTCCTTCGTTTACCCTGTCGCCGAACACGCTCTTCACGGGCACGGACACACCTCGTGTGCCATCCGTGAACGTGAACTCTCCGGACGGGCCTCTGACAGCTGCTCGCTCCTTGGAGTACTGCGGCTGGAGGTCCTCGCTGGTGAGCCATGGCGAGAGTTTAAATGCCTCGCTCAGCTCTGCCTCGCTTATCCAGGTGGCCTGGCTGATCTCGTGCGCCCTGGCAACGCCGTGAAAGTCGGCTCTGGTGTGGTCATACAGAGTGTAACTGCCGTCCGGATCACTCATCACCATGTAGTCAAGGAGACGGTTTCCGTCAATCGGCACGCGGAACGCATTCAATGGGACCAGGCAGCCAGTGGTTGCCCTGAACACGTATTGTCCCTGGACCTGCTTCACACAGGCTGCTAGTTCTGCAGAGGATCCGGACCTTTCCCGGGTGACGGCCTTTCTTCCTGGACCACTACTGTTGGTTGCTGCCTTTGGCTTTGCACCGGTTGCTGTGGCGTACTCCGAACTGGTTCCCTGGTAGCCTGAAGCTTCCCAGCTATCAAGACCTTCACTGTATATCACTTCGTTATTGCCAATCGTCTGGGCACTGTTGATCGCAACGCCTGTGGCAGTGGCGCAGCTCCTATCACCTGGAAGACTGCTGCTGCCGGCCCCCGTGCCCGGTGCAGCGTAATCCATCTCCGCCCTGGCGTGTGTCATGTTCTTCGTGCCCGCCTCTGGGCACCATTCACCGGTCTGGTTGCAGTCATCCATGTCGAGCACGGTAGCGGAAATCACTGTCAAAGTAGATGAAGAGGCACAGAGTGTCTCGCGACTTGTGCTCAGTGTGGAGTTGAGTTCACTCCCTGATTTCTGCACCAAATTGTGCTTTCCGGAGAGGATGCTTTTGGCTAACCGCCCTGCGTCCGATTCGTGCGCCTCGCCACCGTCGGGAGACCCATTGTGTTGCGATGCTGGCGAGCCGCAAGTCATGTAATCAGAGTTCCTGCCGCGCTTTTCAGCTCTCGAGTGCATGAAACCGTACGGATTTCCATTCTTTTCTTTTTTGCCGTGATACGAATCGTACATAACGTCTTTCCTGCACAGTACAAAAGTGGACACATGAACATTATGAATTATTATTTACGCAATCAAGTAGTGCGCTCCAAATAATTATTATTAAGATTGGAGCGAACTTTAATTTCAAAGGATCAGTCGCCGAAGTGAACTGCCTGAAAAGAGAAAAAAATGCCAGACCCACCAGGACTCGAACCCGGGACCTTGCTTGTCATGAGCAATGCTCTAACCATCTGAGCTATGGGATATTATTATTGATGAGATGTGAACTTCAATAAAACTATGGGCGGTACCATTCGGCGGTTTCTAAGCTACATAAAGCTCTCCTCCTCCCGTGATGTGCTCTAAAGCTGACCATTGCTACCATCGGTAGCCATTACTCACACCAATAATCTCAAACAACGAAGGGGTCACTGGTAAAAGATTTCCTTCTGACTGCTGCGTCGCCTATGAAAGGCTCTTCAAGGAAGGCGATACATGGCAAAATTACTAGTACTTCCTCCGGAAACAAAAACTTCCGGTGACTTTTGTTACATGACTTTTCAAGGAGTTACTGTGCTCAACAGAAGTGTTCTTTTGGAAGAGAAACACTTCAACACATTCAACCCACATATCTACAATATCTACAGGATCGATGAGTGGGAGTAGAGTCTCGGTCTTGGTCGCCATCGCTCGACTCATCACGGCTGAAACCGTTCCAAGTGGCAGATCGATCGACACAATGTCGTATATCGCGGAGAAGCTTCTCCGCATTCCTAATCGTCTTCACTGTTACCTGAATGCCTTCTCCAACATCTCGGCGGAGACCACGGTAGCGCTGCAGCACTGGTACTCATTACCGCCTCCGCTCTCGCTCGAGGGCAAACACAGGCAGAGCCAAGCATTTCAAATTTCCTCCGAGGGATATCATAGTCGTACCAGCACATCCCGACTGCCCCGATCAGATCTCGCCTTTTCTCCTTTGCGACCAAGGAGACATCGTCGGGGCTGCTGGAAAAAGGCGACATCATCCACGTTGAGGTCTGGGTTCTGCAGTGGCTGAACGGTTACATTGACTTTATTTTGAACTTGTTCCTCTTGTCCGCGAAGTGACGATTGTCACATCTCTGCATTTTATAGTTTTGACATCGTGCCGACGTGTTCGCATGCCGACAGGCGTTTCGGGGATGGCGAAGATTTTAAAACGCTACCTGCTACTGCTATTCGTTTTCCACTCGTCTTGCTCCTCAGTGCCGTTGTCCTGCTCTGTCAAGTTCTGAACTAAAACATCGCATCGACGAGCAGTGAGCGCAGTGCTTTTCTTCTTATTGCGGCTGGTGGAGGAAAATGAAAAACATGTTCGCTTTGCTTTGTTTGCAACGTCGACACCCTTGCTCTGCGACGACTGTCGGCTCTCCAGAATATGAATTATGCTTTCCTACGATTCCGAAATGTCATGTCAGTGTGAAAATAACAGCAGCGAAAAGTAGTGAAAAAAGTCAGAAGTTTTTGTTTCCGGAAGAAGTAATATTTTGTAAGGTATGTTATGGGCGCAATACGCCAGGCAAAATGTAACACTGAGAACGTAAACGAATATTCTCCAAGCAGCACACAGTGCCCAGGTTTCTAGGAAAGATAGCAGGTGGAAATATTATGAATACTATGAGCTCCAGTGTGGGAGCAAGCCCGTTCCTAAAATTCATCGCTGAAGTCGCAACCACTATTTCGTACTATGAAAACTGAACGCCCTCACGTGAATGGCCCCAGTTCGACAGCACAGCCTATGCAGCACGGCAAAGCATGCATGCACCACGGTTTTCGATGCTGGTTTTTCGATGCCAAGATGAAGGTAGGTGAAAGAGAAGACCCTCGAACAAGAACGAGTTTCCAGAAGCGATCGAGTCGAGCGGGAAGACGACTTTTGACTTTTGACTTTTTTCTGTCTTCTGTACCCTTCCTGGCACCCTGAAAGTCCTCCAGAGGAGAATTTATCTCCAGTAAAACGTTGTTGATCCGCTTCACCCAGTGCTGATAATGTAGAATCTGGAATCTGTGATAATTGTTGACGACGGAGAGACGTTGATAGCCGCTGTCGCAGGGAGAGTGACGCTGCTGGAAGTAACAATGGTGAGTATCCAGGCTTCAAGGCAGCTTGACCACGTCGGATGGTGCTGACTATTTTAATAATAATAATAATAAATGTAGAAAGGAAAAGGACATATGGATACGAGTTAAGAGTAACTCTCCACCACTGTAACTAGATACTATATACAGTCAGAAAGTGCAACAACTAGGCGCAAAACTGACAGAGTACTGAGACATTCGACGTCCTGACACCTAGCTTCAACACATCTCCGTAGCGCTAACCGTCAGTTACAGTTACAGTTACTCTTAACTCGTTTCCATATGTCCTTTTCCTTTCTACTTTTATTATTGGCTCAATACCCGAGTTTCAAATAATAATAATGTAACTCGGATGGTGAGCCAATTAAATAATTGTGAAAAGAAGCAGGACAAAATGTTACGAGTTATGACTACCTGTCCACCAGCGTAACCAAATCTTATACAGTCAGCGAGTGCGACAAAATGGCACAAAACTGACAAGGAGTACTGAGACATTCGGCGACCTGACACCTAGCTCCAACACTTCTCCAAGGCGCAAACCAACAACCTTCCAACTTGGAAGGCTCAGATTCGGAAAGGTCCAAGAGGGGAAGGAAAGTGCAACGAAGAAGAGCACAAGCTACGCATCACGGCAACAATGAATGCCGAAAGTTACTGGATGATGACGAAACTAGTAAGACTATTGGACATACCGGCCTTACTACAACTCGACGACGCAAAGCAACAGACCACCCAACTTGGGAGGCTCAAGTTTATGTAATAAACATAGAAAGGGGAAGCTAAGCGAAGACGAATTGTGACAAACCGAAACGTCAACATCCTACTGAACTCCACTATCATGTATGATGGACTAGTTATGTACAATAACAAGTAGTTCCACACGACGTACGTTTCGCCGTTTAGGTCATGACGGCTCATCAGGTGTGCAAAATGTAACTCGGATTGTTGGTTGTTGGTTTGCGCCTTGGAGAAGTGTTGGAGCTAGGTGTCAGGTCGCCGAATGTCTCAGTACTCCTTGTCAGTTTTGTGCCATTTTGTCGCACTCGCTGACTGTATAAGATCTGGTTACGTTGGTGGACAGTTAGTCATAACTCGTAACATTTTGTCCTTCTTCTTTTCACAATAATAATAATAATAACCAGTTAATATTTTATGACTTGGGGCTCCCCGCGTGCTAGTTTGTACGTGAAGTGTGTGGGTACAGTGAGGGCTGCGTCCCACCCGCCCGTGTGGATTCACAGGAAGTGTGAGTTCCGAAGTCTGAAGAAAACGTTGAACGGTCTCTGCTTGGATGACGACTACACCATAGCTCAGTGGTTAGAGCATCGCTGGCTACAAGCGAGGGTCCCTGGTTCGAGTCCTGGTGGTGACAGTCAATTTTTTCTTCAGACTTTTACCGTTTGTCTCTTTCCCTCAAAACCAGTTAATATTTTATGACTTGGGGCTCCCCGCGTGCTAGCTTGTACGTGAAGTGTGTGGGTACAGTGAGGGCTGCGTCCCACCCGCCTGTGTGGATTCACAGGAAGTGTGAGTTCCGAAGTCTGAAGAAAACGTTGAACGGTCTCTGCTTGGATGACGACTACACCATAGCTCAGTGGTTAGAGCATCGCTGGCTACAAGCGAGGGTCCCTGGTTCGAGTCCTGGTGGTGACAGTCAATTTTTTCTTCAGACTTTTCCCGTTTGTCTCTTTCCCTCAAAACCAGTTAATATTTTATGACTTGGGGCTCCCCGCGTGCTAGTTTGTACGTGATGTGTGTGGGTACAGTGAGGGCTGCGTCCCACCCGCCTGTGTGGATTCACAGGAAGTGTGAGTTCCGAAGTCTGAAGAAAATGTTGAACGGTCTCTGCTTGGATGACGACTACACCATAGCTCAGTGGTTAGAGCATCGCTGGCTACAAGCGAGGGTCCCTGGTTCGAGTCCTGGTGGTGACAGTCAATTTTTTCTTCAGACTTTTCCCGTTTGTCTCTTTCCCTCAAAACCAGTTAAAATAATAATAATAATAATAACTTTATTAGGATGACCCAAAGGCTGACCACCTATTGTGGGCTCCGTCGCGTTGAAGGATGATGGTACAAGGTACAAGAGAGTACAGATTGGGAAGGGGGGGGGGGGGCTACACGATGAAGAGGGTAACAGCATGCCAGCGAGTAGACCTGAATACTGACAAGAATGTTTGCGCAGCTCTTTCTTGAATAATTTCCCTCATTGCTTATCGTGAATATTACACCGACATGAGTTACTACATGACGACTGTGTACTGGTGGGGTTATCTTTCTTGTGTTTGTTCGTATACCCTTTGTTGCGCAACAGTCTAGAGTGAACGATTTTTGAAGGCTTTTTTCTGTTGTTCTTTAGTTGGAGTATGTATTGTACTACTTTTGACTTTTTCTGCATCGTTTTGGTTGCAAGTGCACGGTCTCCTGTGCAGCATGGACCAGTTATGTTATTGTCACATGTTATGGTTTGTTCTGCGCATGCTCAATTATGCCGCCACGATGTTCGTCCTTTCTTCAGTTATCAGTTTTTTTCCCTCGTCGTGTCCGGTCTTCTTGTCTGTCCGTCTCCGTCTTGTCAAGAAATTTAGTAGAACTCCTAGTTCAGTTGCGTTGTTGTGTGTGGCGAGGCGGATGGGTGGAGAGGCTGAGCCCCTGACACCTGGAGAAGATGTGCTGGTGCACAACACCCTCGCCATGGCCTGGAGTGCTCTTTAGCAAATTCCTATTCCCTGGCGTTTTCTAAAATTCCGTGTAGTGCTTAATTTCTTGATCAAGTATTCCGATTTGGGTAGATGTGGAAATTGTACATGTATGATTGCTTTTTTTCCAAATACAGCTTTGGTAGAGAAAGGATCGCCCAAAATCAACAAAATTGATTCTACAGTGCCAAAACGAGTAATGAAATCCAGTCAAAAATAAT